TTGAAGTCACTTCAATATCACCGCTAACCCCCCACTGGACCAACGGCGAGCGCGTGTATATCGGGGGGATGTGCCCTGACCTCGGGCGAGGTCATTAAGGTAGATTTGCTAGTAGTACCACTAAGCCCAACTAGAGTAAAGGCGAAAGACTGCAGAAAATGGAAGGTTGTGCAAATCACCCTACTTTAAATTTGCAAGTAAGCGATAATTCCGGTGGTCAGATTAAACAACTATTTTTCCTTAATTTACTGACTTCATCGGTTATTGTATGCGACGGCCTTCCGAGGACCCCTGCAGTTCGATGTCAACATCCAAACCCTGCTGGATGGAAGGCTGACGTGCAGAAAATAGAAGATTAGCAGTAATTTAACCTACTCAAAATGTGTAAGTAGGTGGTTATAATACATAAGGTCCTTTCGAAGACCCCACAAGGAATCCTTACCAAAAATATTTAACTGAACTTCGGCTTTAAGTGTGCCGGCATCTGGTAGAGTGTATCTAACCAAACTTAACGTATATTTATGAAATTATCGTCAAGTAGATGCTTGAAATAGCACTAAAAACTGCTGGGCAACGATATTCCTTCGATTTTGCTAATTCGGAAGCGAATGTTAACATTAACAAACGAAATGGATAATACGTCTTCCCAGCAATGCAATTTGTTTGCGAAGAGGCAATTGGAGATACCCCTCCATTGCTAGACGAGAGAATACAAAGACCCTCTGACGGCGAACCCGCAACAAACGTTCACCGAAAGGACTCCACTGCATAAATCATCCTTAACTTTGGGAGTAACAACCCCGCGGCCCATAAAAGGAGCTGTGTTTTACCCTTTTTCAATGGGCTAATCGCTATTGCGGCAGTGAGGACTTGTTTAAGAAGGCAAACACACGTATATTAGTTCAACCGAACCAATGGATATACAACCAACTTTGTCATAAACTGTCTAAGTCGTTAGGGACAGGCAAAAACCAACCGCCTAATTTAGATATAGTGCAGCAGAAATTCCATCGAGAAGAAGGCTCGATCGCTGGGACAATATGTTTATTCGCCTGACGTTTCGACATCCGTCGCCGATCGCTGGGACAATATGTTTATTCGCCTGACGTTTTGATATCCGTCGCGGAATCAAATTCTTATCCTTACCCTACATGAAAGATATTTCCGAAACTTTCTCTCGTCAACTAAGTTGTTCCGCCGTCTCCGTCGCCCATAAGCCCGCATTCTCCCTACGCGCAATCCTCTGCCGAGCAAAGTACCCTCTGCCCGTAGACCAGGTAAGCAACGTCTATTACCGCATACCATGCACCGGCTATCCCTGTGTTTACGTGGCCACGCAGGCCGACGTCACGGGACTCGCATCATCGAACATGGCTGGCGAGAAGTTTTATCACTCGTATCTGCGCACACCCTTGAGTGTGATCACCTCTTCAACTGGGACGGTACCGAGGTGATCGCCACTAGAGTCCGACCAGGGCATTACCAGGCACGTCCAGGTCGATTCACATTACAAGGGCTTGCGTGCATGCCTCACTGTCTCGCATCCACAATGGGCGCTTATAAATACGCGGCCGAGTGGAAATCCACTGGCGCGGTATCCCACCGACACGTGAACTATATCTCATTTTCAACAGTGCCCTCCCTTCCCCTTACTCCGAACACTATCTGTGACATGTGTACCATGACCCCTGCCGTGAACTTCTGTCTACCTGCATCTCTATGCCCTTTTCCGTAATACCTTATTATAGTCTCTGTATCGATTGTGTTCCTTACAGAGTCAAAACTTAGGTTTTACAAGGATGACATTGGCGATCATACAGTGGCTTTCGATAAATTATTTGCAGGCACCGAATCCCCCTTCCCCCCCCTTCTTCCACTGACCCTGACAGCCGCCCTTTTTTACCAATCCGCATAGTTTGGTTAGTTAAGTACGATATAAATATACAGGCCTGAAAATAACGTATCGAAAACAAACGCATGCTTGCCAATTTATCTTTTGGAATTCTTAATGAGAAATTTGCGCCATCGTAAAGCAAGTTGTTTTTTTTCTGAAACAGAATGCAAGGTCAGGAGTTAACGAATAACTGAATCAATGAATGCATGCATGACAACAATTCGTGCAATGTGTATTTCTAATGAATTTCAAAAGCCACCACACTAATTGCTGCTCATGACACTGACAGCAACTTTGCGTACACCACTATAATTGCCCGCCACCCCCCCCAT